ATCATCCAAACACATAATAAAAATTAATTTGCTAAAATAAATAAATAAGTAAATATCTAAAAGATTTATGAATTTTACGTAATTTTATCTTTAGTAGGTAGAAATAATTTTTAAAAATTCAAAAAAAAAATAATTGACATTTATTTTTGTCAAATTAGTTTATATTTTTATCAATTGACGATTTTGCCCTTCAAATTAAGTAATGATATCTTCAATTGTTCTTATTTGGAACAATATTCAAAATTTAGGATTAAATGTGTCACAATTGAAAAGTCATGTAGTAAAGTAATACAAATTCCAAACTATAGAGACCGTTAGTATAATTCGTCCTAATTTTTTTTTTTTAAAAAAAAAAAACACTGCAGCGAGAAATCTATTTCTGAAACTTTTGGACCAATTGGCCCAAGCTTAAATCTTTTTGGGCCAAAAGATTATCTATTTGTTTAAATATCACCTATCTGTTCGCGTATTACTTATTTGTTTAAAAATCATCTATCTATACACGTGTCATCTCTTTATTCACCTATCTATCCAATGTTACCTATATCCTCACTGCCATCGTTGCCAGCCATCACCGACTCTTTTGATGACTTTTCCAGCAACTTTCTCATGGATGTCCTTGTTACCAAAAAGATTAAACATTGGGCAAAATAACATATGGCTCTCTATTGGTATGGATTTTTCACCAATTAACCCTAGAAAAAATCCTTAAGTATGTGTTTAATTGGGAGATTTGGAAAAAAATTTAAAAAAAGAAAAGAAAAAGATATGTAAAATTAGATGAGATGTTCACACTTCATTTACTTTTTTATTTTCCTTGCTAAATCCATCTAAATTTTTTTAATCAAACACAACGTAAGCCTCACATCAGTAACATCATAATTAAACATCACTTAACTAATAACCAAAGACTATAATAATTGGATAATATGATACACTTTTTATTTTTAGAAGTTTGTAGTAGTATAAAATTTGCCCTCTTAGTAATTGACCTTTGTTCAGATTTAGCAAAGAAAATAGTTTTGTTTTATTTTTCTTTTGCTTTTGGGTTTGGGTTTGAATTCCTAAAACAGGGCATTCCTTTGATTTATTTACTTATAATTACAAATCCATGAAAAAATAAAAATAATTACAAAAACATGAAATTGTAAATGGGTCTATGTTCTAGTATTCTTATGTAAGTTCAAGTACATTTTTATCCATTGATTTGAAGTATAATTAATGATTCAATTGCTAAATGACTATCTATTGTTATATTTTTTAACAATGAATAATGAAAAAATATTCAGTGTGTTTGGTTTGAATTTTTTAGATTAAATTTTTTAAAAATTGAGTTTTTTGATTTTCATGTTTTTGTTTTTAGTTTTTATTGAATATTTTTAAAATTTTAAACATTTTTTTTTTACTTTTTTAGATACACCTTACTTAGATGTATCTAAAAAATAAAAAATTTGTGAAAAAATATTTTTAAAAATTAATAAATACATAAAAATACAAAAAATGTACTGAATTTTTAAAAGTTTTTTTCACAATTTTTTTACTTTTTAGGTATATTTATGTTAGGTATGTCAAAAAATAAAAAAAATTGCTTAAAATATTAAAAAAATTTAGTAAAAACAAAAAAATACGAAAAGCAAGAAATTAGAATTTTCTGAAAAATATTTTTGAAAAACTCTAACCAAACAAAGTGATTATATTTTAGCAACATTAATCTAAAACAAACTTTCTCTTTATTTATTTTCCCATTTCGGCTATCATTTCAAAATAACATACTGCATATTACATAATCAAACTTTAATAACTTAATTTAAAGTTATATACTGCAAAATAAAATAAGGTGAATCATGAAGGAGGAAGAAAAACATAATAATTTGTACTTTTGTATCATGCTGTTATTTTTGTGCTTGATCCGTTCTATATATTAAATTCTAAATTTCACGTTTCTATGTTTCTGTCTTTTTATTTTGCAAATATCAATCTTAATTTTTTTATGAAAGTGCTATGATTTTTTTTATTTTATCTTTTGTTGATTTCTACTATCTGAAAGAGGAGATGAATAGTGTTTCTGAAATATTGAGAAAATGAAATATTTCTAGATAGATTTGTTGAACTATATACAAAATTTAACACAAAGGTAACATTGCCAAAACATAGCAAACTAGCAATTAGAGTGATGAAATTTAAAATTTTCACCTTATTATTCTTAGCAATAACAACTCTAGTAGAAGCCCTTGCAAATCTTTCATTTTTATTTTTATTTATTTATTTTTGTCTTAATCTTGAAGAGATGATTGAAAAAAGACAAGGGAGGAATTGACACCGGGTCAAGTAAGTTGGCTGTTACACCGGCCATGTGTGTTTGACTTTGGCTTATTCAAACTCCCTTCCTTGCCTCTTCGGCAAAGGTATGTCCCAAGCAAACCCAAAGTTGAAGTCCAAATGAGTGTTTTTAGTACTGGAAGCCACTTTCATCTTATTAGAGAAGACAAGGTCAAGTCCAAACGGAAACCCTGTTCTCCTCCCTCCAAGGACCGGTATTTTGGTATGCAATGCAAATCTTTTTGAGTTTTTTCTGTTTCATTATTCACAATTTTATGTTAAGACATAGGGAACTGTAGGCGACAATGTAGGTGTTTGGAAAGTAGGTTTTTTTGTAAGTTTTTTTAGATGTAGGATATTATTCAAGAAATTTTTTTTTTGTGTTTGGGAAGATAGTTAGATTTTTTAATGGTTGGATGGGATGTCTGTGAGAAAAAAAGTGAAATAATTATGGGTTTGATATAATATTTTGTTTGGATTTTTTTTTTGATTTTGTAACGAATTTGTCTTTTAGTGAAAAAAAACAAAAAAAAAAAACCAAAAAATTTCCTTCCCCCCCTCCCCAAAAAAAAACAAAATATTCAGTGATTGGTGAGTCGTATAATCACATCGTGTCCCATGAACATTGAATAATTTTTCTTATTTGATACGCAAATTTTATTCAAAACTCACCTTATTATCTGGGTCCTCAATCTTATTGTTCACGATGACATAATAATAATCATATTTTCATATTAACAATTAATTAAAATCATATTATGAAACTATAACTGTGTGGAGTGATGGAAGACATTTTCTCAATAATTTTATGAATACCAAATTAAATATAAAATGAGTTACGAGAAATATAAGTGAAGCATTATAGATCAAAGTAGTGACGGCCCTAAGTCTAATGTGTATGACTTTTCATTTTCACAATAGTAATTTGTTTTAGGAGTTCAAACTTTGTAAGAGGACATGTAATTCAACAACACTACAATTACAACAGTATTATAATTTGTGATCATCGAAGAATTGTAGCATTGTTGGCATGTAATCAATGTATTCAAATTCAAATAAAAAAATATGGGCCAATTACATTAACAATTCTTATAGTTTTTGATCACTGACTTTTCAATTGTGACACATTTGATCCTAAATTTTAAATCTTGTTCTAAATTAGGACAATTGAAGTTACCATTGCTCAATTTCAAGAGCAAAGTCGTCAATTTAATAAAATATAAACTAATTTGATAAAATAAATGTCAAAAAAATATTTTTGAATTTTTAAAAATTATTTCTACCCACCATAGATAAACTTATGTAAAATTGATAAATCTTTTAGATATTTATTTATTTATTTATTTTACCAAATTAATTTTTATTATGTGTTTGGATAATGATTATGTAATGGGTGATTGTTAGACTTTTAATATGTAATCGATATATTTAATATACAAAATTTGGATTTTTTGATTTAATGGATTGGTTTAATAATGATATCAAAGTTGTCGCCATATTTGACATTTGGAAAAATATAAACTAATTTAATGAAAATAAAAACAACCACCCATTATATGATAATCATCCAAATACATAATAAAAATTAATTTGGTATAAAAAATAAAAAAAACATCTAAAAAAATTATCAATTTTACATAATTTTATCTTTAGTGGGTAGAAATAATTTTAAAAAATTCAAAAATATTTTTTTGACATTTATTTTTGTCAAATTAGTTTATATTTTATTAAATTGACGACTTTATCCTTAAAATCGAGTAATGATATCTTCAATTGTCCTTACTTGAAACAAAATTTAAAATATAAGGTTACATATGTCACAATTAAAAAATTAAGAACCGAAATGACACAATACTCAAACTATAAGAACCGTTATAATTCGCCCAAAAAACCATTGATTGTTCAATATATATGTCCCATTACCTCTGCTCTGAAATACATATTCATAGTCATATATGAAGAATAAAATTTTAGAAAATTATACACAATTTTTAAAAAAGAACTTATATTTTAGGACGTGTCAAATTAAAATAACTGACTAACAAAGAGGAACGAAATGTGTGTTATTTTCATCATAAAATTTTAAATATATTACTATATATATGGTTTTTTTATTTCTTATCACTGAAAATAAAAGCATGGAACCTATTTTTATTTATTAAAATTGTTCTCACTGTTCCTTAGTGTATAATTATGAAAAAAATTTAATAAAAAATTCATTTATATAAATAAAATTACTTCAAAATTATTGATTTTTTTTTTTTTTGTTTTTTGGAGCATGACCGGTTCCAAATTTTCGGCCTAACAGGAAGCCTACAGGTCGGTATCTAACCAAACCAAAATAAAAATAACAATGACAGCACAATCAAGAACGAATTCACACAGCCCAATACTACACGTCCACGTGGTAACCTACAACTTTGAATTCTTCAACGTAAACATTTTGGACAATCACCTACTGGACATTGACAAATAATTCCTGAACAAGCTGTCTCTTAACGGTCAACATTCATTGAATCGGACCACATAGTATGCCCCCAAAACTTTCCAAATGTTGTCCACTTGTTAGCTTAGTATTGAAGCCGCAAAACGGTCCAATATTGTCATCAGGACTTTAGAAAAGACAAAGTACTACCACGTGATCATATATAATTTTCTATTCAAACAAATCATACAATTTTCTAACAAACTACCCTCATCACCATGCAAACTGAAGCTCCCAAAAACCCAATTTTTCAATCCCTATAAATATCCATTTCCCAACTCCCCTTAGGCCACCATTTTCTTGAGAAAATTTAAGTATAGCCACTTTCTTGAGAAAATAATAAGAATGAAGAGGCAAAGAAATAATACGGGTGGAAATGGACCGGCCGTGGCAACGAAGAGAAAGGCGAAAAGAGAGGTGAAGAAAGTGGCAGAGGAGAGGAGGGGTGGCGGGGAGTGTGTGGCGGTGGAGGCAGAGGAGAGGAGGGATCGGGTGGATCAGAGGCCGCAATTGTGGAGTGTCGCGGATGAGCAAATGTCATGGGGGTCATTTTGGTGCCCATCTTGGGACATGGAGTGCTTGGGTGAAGCTTATAATGCATTATATAGTGATGTTGTTTGGGATGATGATATTTGGGATTTGAAAGGGATCAAGGAAGTTCCAAATCAATGAGGAGAGAGGGAAAATAGAGTATTTTAGCTTGTAAATTTTGATATTCTGCTAGTGAAAGTTCAGTTCAGTTCTGTTTTTTATTTTTAATAGCTTTAAATGAGTTGGTTTTCAGGGAAAAAATTGATGTACTAATCAAAAAAAAAAAAAAAAAAATGCTCTGTATTTGAATATATGGTGCTTCTACTATATTGTTTGTGCTGCGAATGAATATGCTATTTATGCATTGGATGAGTTTGTTATGTTCTTTTAAAATGTGTTTTTCAAACTCAAAACAGATTTGAACTTTATTTCTCAAACTCATCATGGCTTTAAGCTAAGTTTTCGTAAAATGATGAGGGTTTGGAATTAAGTTCAATACAGATTTATGTAATTTTTAAACAAAAATACGAGTGTTGTAAATTACTATGTATTGAATACTCTTCTCTGCCAATTCACTGGGCAAATTATCATTAATTTTTCTATTTCTATTCAAAATACTGCAGTTGGATTCATACTCACAGCTGTTTGAGTTGAAAAAGAGAAAACAATATTTGTTTTTTTTAGACTAAATGGTATTTTTTGCAAAAATAAACAGGAAAGCCCTGACAGAATATTTTTATGATAAATTAGTTTGTGTAATTTCATCATAAGTAATAAATCTGACACAAACAGAATAAGTGAAACTCCAACCATCATGTTGATTATTGAAAAAAAATAATAATATGATGACGCATGATTCTATAATTCAGTCCTAAATTCTAAATAAACAAACACAACATCAAACTAACAGAAACAGAAAAAGAAAAAGAGTTCAATGTTTTTAATGTTCTAACAACAAACACATCTTCATGAAATAATTTCCCAACAACATAGTAGTTCATCAGACTTTTGAAGCCGGGCAGCTTGTAGCAAATGAAACTGATCCACTGAACTTGGCACTTCTTGTTGAATCCGATGATGAGAATCTGTAGCCATGTTTGGGTATTCCTTCTTGCATATTCTTCAACCTCTTTTAGTATTTGGAATGAATCTGTGCACCCAAACATGGGCAGCTTCCACATTATCCACTACATACATAAAACATTCAAAATTAATCATAGTTGTCAAACTCATAAGCTATGAAACTTTTATCTACAAAAATTCAGCTCGTAATTTTTTTTTTCTTCCTCTGAAAGTGTTAGATGTTCGAAAAGTGTAGCTGCTACACCCACAACCCCTCTCCTCCTTCATCATCTCCATCCTCACCACCCAACCCACTACCTCAAAACAGCACAACTCCTGCCTGCCACCTAGCATCCTTACCTCACCCCCTCAAAACTAGGTTTGGGTTGAATTGGGTACGGATCAGACATATCAACCCAACAATCATTTACTTTATGAGGTGGTGATGGTGGCACTTATTTTTTTTTTTATACAAACTCATTGAGTGTTCATGTTCAACTCAATTAAACTCAATTTTAAATAAATTAACATAGTGTAACTTATTTAAACTCATTTATGGAATCAGATTTAAACATATTTTAAACTGTTTATGACCACAATATGTACATAAAGTGTTCCATTTCATGTATCTATCACTACAATGACTAAGAGACATCCATGAGTACATATGTGTAAATATACATGAGATACACAAATGTGATAGTTGTAAATAAAGATGGTACTCAAGTATGTACAATGGAACTTCTTATAACAAACACCAAAATTAATCACACGATCAAACATAATCTTTTCCTAGGGATGTAGAATATACAAAGTGATTAAACTGATATGCCCAATTCTATGATCGATTTCTATATTTATAGACCTTTTCGGAGATCAGGGGTGTTCAGATGGTTTGGGAAGACTTGGGTATTGGGGGATATCTAAAAGATTTTGTATAGAGAACAAGAAAAAAACCTCTAACAGAGAACTTTAAGTCTTTAAGCAAGGAATCCAACTGAGGTGAATAAGAAAGTTGACTTCCTTTGCCAACGATGCAGCTTTGAGAGGAGGAAGGTGCAAGACAGCGTCTCCAGCTTCTTCCTTCCAATTGGAGGCCACACCTGCACAACCATCACCTCATCATCATAAATTATTTTGAACTGAAAATTCTTGTTAGAGCAATTTCAAACAACTTAAATTAATTTGAAATGAAAATTCTCGTTAGAGCAATTTCAAAGGTCTAACGAGATGGTTGTAGGGTAGCTATAAAGTAGGAATACTTAAAAAAAGAAGATATATCTGTATCGTATCCGTATTGGATATTGATATTCTTTGAATATTTGTGGATACGCATTGGATACTTCTTAATTTATCTTTCATAGTTTGGGAGTATTTGATACTTCAAAATTAAGTATCGGATACTCTTGTTGGAAGAATAATTTTTTTGGCGACTTTCATACAATATTAAAGTGAGGGCCAAACCTCAATTGAAGTGGATTAAAGTGGATTTAAATTTTTTTGTAATGTAATCTTTACACCACAAAAAGAATGACTAAAAACCATTATGGTTTGAATGAGAAATTGACTCACTAAGTTGGCTTTATGAAAGAGATGTTGGGAAATGTATAAAATCTTGTATCCCACATTGATTGAAGAGGAGAATATTGATGGGTATTTAAAACCCATTGTTTGCATAAGGGTGTAAGCCTTTGGAGCATCTAAATTTTTCGAAGGAAAGGAGTTTTGATGCTTTAAGGAGGGACTTGGGCTAAGATTATGGTTCAAGTTAGTTATGCAAAAATTGCCACTCGGGCGCGTTGCTCGCCCGGACCAGGACGAGTCCGTGGATCTTGGGCTTGGGTTGGATTGAGTGTGGGGGATCTTTTTGGGCCAAGTCAAATGTGTGGGTTGTAGAAATATGTACACAAAACCTAGTCTCCTCTATTGATGATGGAATTAAACCCATTAGTTTTGCAGAATTAATTCCTGCATTTGTTGTAGGGGAGCCTCTTCCTCTTTTTTCCCTCAATGTGTATAAAAATTGACCGAATAACAACAAACGGACAACGCTTCACAACAAAGACTCGGAGAGAGTACAACGGAATAACCCTGGTATCAGAAAAGGTAGTTTTTGGCTTTAAACCCCTCTTAGTAAAGTATATCGAATTTACTAGTTGTCCAGTAAACACAAAGTCTTGAACTATTCTACCGTTTTATGTAAATCAAGACAACAAACCTCATACATGAATTACTTCAACCATTGTTTTGTTCTTACTGTTGTGTCCGGTTTGGCCATGAAACACTAGCCTGGTTCAGTGAGTGGTTTAAAGAATTAGGCCTTGTTAATTCTTATGGAAGTGACCCCACTTCACACTCACAGTAGTTGGGCCGAGGTAACGGCCGAGCAGATTGAGAGCCCAACGGTGCATGGGGCCGAGATGATTGACCATCCGCTAAGAAATGGGCTGCCAGAACCTAGGCCGGGCAGAACTTGGGCCAAGTGTGAGTCGCCCCGGCCCAAGAAGGAGCTCGGCTGGATAGCGCTTGGTTGGACCGAGCTGCCTGATCAGGGGATGGCTGAAGCCAGACAAGCTAAGTGACCGGTGCCCGGTAAGGCGTGGTCAGCCGAGGAGACTGTTTGACCGGCAGGAAGGCCGACCCAAGGAGGTACCCGGGCTAGGCTCTGCCGAGATGCCGCCTAGCCCGGTCCTCCATGTGTTTATCCGGTTAGGCGCTTGGGTATGAAGCATGGCATGGCCGTGGTAGAGCAGCTCGGCTGCCGAGCTCCAGCTGTGAAGTCAGGCAGTTGAGATTAGGTGATGTTCAGCAAGGTCTATGCTGACAGATGGGATAGCAGAGCCACGTGTCAGGAGATGACTGGGAGTGGATATGGGGCTCAGAAGGTATATAAGCATGTCTGCGCCCCCCATACGCGACACACGAACATCTCTGTAAGGAATTCTTACACTCAAAGACTCTCTCCCTTCTCTCTATCCCTCCTAAAGTGTGTGTTAACTTGACCGCCGGGTAGTTCACCGTTACTTGCTCACAGGTGATCGGACATCGACGGAGCTCGGAAGAAAGGAGTACGGGCTTGCCGGAATATTTGCTCCCTGTACAATTGGCGCCGTCTGTGGGAAACTTGACAGACAAAACCTTGTCTTCCAGGTTCATCTGATCGCCGTCCATGGCGAACAACGATGAGTTTTCATTGTCCGCCATCGACGGAGCCACCCCGGAGTATACCCGAAGGAGAGAGGGACCTCCTGCTGTCCACCCAATGGCTGACTTGGGAACGCCCACTGGTGGACATTCAGGAGACGCGCGGGACAAGCGCGGACGAAGTCACGGACATTCACGGAGTCCAGACGGTCACCGGCGGAGGATAGACTCGCACGCCAGGCGACTGGAAAGCAAATTGAGGGATCAAGATGCTGTCATCCGGTGAATGGCGGCGGAGATGGAAGATCTCAAGCGGCATGTCAAAGGGAAGGGTGTAGTTGGAGTGGGAGACCACAGTGAGCGCACCCCATCTCGCCGTTCAGGCGGTCAGAGTCAGCGACGTACTCAGTCAATATCCATTACCAAAAGTTACCAGGTTGGTGATTCCGACGTGGGTGCAGGGAAGTCTAGCGCGCAAGACAGCACCTACAAACCCTCACGTCCGGAGACGACGTCGAGGTACTCTTACTCCGCTCAATCAGAGGATTTACGGGCGGTCTTAAAGGAGCGGGCCCGCCGGCGTGAAGCTCAGAGAATACCAGCTTTCCAGCGTCTATCTTACGGGGTTCACGCCAGCGAGGAGGTCGGAATGCCTCCGCCCCGCCAAGCAGTGCCACTCCTTAAAGATATGGACTTGGCCAGGCTGAGTGCCACTCCTTTTTCCCTGGAAATTGAAACAACACCACTTCCGGCAGGCTTCCACCAGCCAAAGTTCACACTTTATGACGGAAAAACCGATCCATACATGCATGTGAGCCACTTCCGACAGGTTATGGCCGGACATAGGCGCAATGACGGACTTATGTGCCTAATCTTCCCGTCAAGTTTAGGCGAGCTGGGCTTAAAGTGGTTCGAGAGGTTGCCGGAAAGGAGCATACAAAGGTGGCATCAATTGGCCGAGGCGTTTGTTACACGCTTCAAAACCAACACAAAAACACCAAAAGAATTATATATACATAAAAAAAATTAAATATCAGATAAGCAATTTCTAATAGGATGAATATATATATATTGAGAGGGTAATTTAT